GTTTCGGGACCCCAACCACGCCGCATGCAGGAACGGGGCTCCCTAGCGTTTCTGATGCTTCATGGCTGTCGGGTCTAGGGCTTAGGCTTAGGGTTCCCCAAGTTAGCAGATGAACGGTCATGTCTCGGAACTGTGGTCTGGGAATTCGCGATCCTAAACCCTAAACCCTAAACCCTAAACCCTAAACCCTAAACCCTAAACCCTAAACCCTAAACCCTAATTAAACCTGAACCCTAAGGGTTGAAGGGTGCAGGCTTTCTGGGCATCTGAAACTTCAACTGACTTCGCCTGCGCTCTAAGACCTCTCGAAAGGCAAAGGCCTGAAACTTGTGAAATGTCTAGGGCGTGCAGGGTTTAGGGTTTAGGGTTTGAACTGGTGCGAGGTACTGACTACAGAATCAATTCAGGCTCCCAGGCCGCTTTAGGGTGTAGTGCTTGGGGTTTTGGGGGGTTGACTCGGGTTTCAGGGTTTAGGGTGTAAGGTTTAGGGTTTAGGCTACACAAGAATGGGGGATCAGGGTTTAGGGTGTAGGGTTTAGGGTTAAGTGCTGGGGTGCGGAGCTACCCAACGTCGCCCAGGGTCAGAGAAACCTGGCACTGCTGGGTCTTCGCCGCCTGAGACACGCGCAAAGACATGCCTGAATACATACTTACGTAGGGTTTGGGTTTAGGGCTTAGGGTTTAGATTACTAACATGCCCAGATACGAGACATCAACATGCTATGTATAAGCGACTGCGCAATGCACACACACACACACAGATAAGTGTGTACGCACGTGTTTGCATGTCTATATGGAAAAATATTATATATATATATATATGGAGAGAGTATACTTGTCTATGATCATATGTCTATACAGAAAGAGAGAGGGAGGCTGGGGAGAGGTAGGGAAAGGTAGGGAGAGGTAGGGACGGAGAGAGAGAAAGAGAGAAAGAGAGAAAGAGAGAAAGAGAGAAAGAGAGAAAGAGAGAAAGAGAGAAAGAGAGAGAAAGAGAGAAAGAGAGAAAGAGAGAAAGAGAGAAAGAGAGAAAGAGAGAAAGAGAGAAAGAGAGAAAGAGAGAGAGAGAGCGACAAAAAAGGGAGAGCGTGAGTGAGTGAGTGAGTGATTGAGTGAGTGAGTGAGCACAGGCTGGCTTGAATGGTTGAGTCTTCGTTGGGGTTAGGGAGCAAATTCCCCTGCTCACTCACAGCCACACCATTCCTTTGTGAATCTAGATCTTGGAACCACAGCTGGGATAGCTCCCGATAGAGAATGAATGGCAAGAGCGCGCTCTAAGCCGGGCTTTTTGCAACATAGCCCGTGACCCCTGAATGGCAGTAAATAAACCGTGTGTCTGAGGGCCATCATGACGAAGGCAACAAGTGACTCATGAAATACCGCCAAAGAAAACGACCCTGACTGCTTGACCGCCCGTACCATTCTTCTCTCTCAATCTTCACTCTTTGTTCCAGGCCCTGGCTGTTACCTTCACGACCCAATGAACTAACCACAGACCCTAGACCCCAAACCCCTATACCCCTATACCCCTAAACCCCTAAACCCCTAAACCCCTAAACCCCTAAACCCCTAAACCCCAAACCCTAAACCCTAAACCCTAAACCCCAAACCCTAAACCCCAAAACCCCCAAACCCTAGCCCTCTGCAGATTCTGGGGCGATGGCCATCAGAGCGTTTGTGGGAGCCAGGAAGGGCGTGGACCTCCCATTCGTCTTCTTTTGTTGAAGGTCGGAGGGGCCTCTGGCTAACCCTAAACCCTCAACCCTCAACCCTAAACCCTAAACCCTAAACCCTCAACCCGAAAAACCCCCCACCGTCATCCTAAATCCCTGAAGCATGCTAGCTTCTGGCTGCAGGGCTACGTGCCAGAACTCGGCTTGAGAGCCGAGGGCCAGAAGGTGGTATGATCTAAGCCCGTTTTGGGATTGTAGGGTTTCAGGTTTAGGGTTCAGGGATTGAATGCTTGAGGCTTAAGAGGCGTTTCAAGGTTTAGGGTTATAGGGTTTGGTCTGTCAAGTCCTAACGCCCCGCCCCAAACTCTAAGCCTGTTCGAAAAACATAAGTCCGAAAGCTCTATTTTCAAGCCTTACCTCTCACATGCTCCAAACACCTCCAAAAACGGATGTCAAACCTAAACTGCTAAAGACTTACCAGCCCTAAATGAGTCCTTAAACCCTCATGCCCTAAATGAAACCTTAAAACCCCATGCCTTCAGAGCCTAAACCCCAAACCCTTAAACCCCTTAAAGCCCCGAAACCCGAAACCCGAAACCCAACACTAAACTGAGTGAGCCCTGGGGGGCATCGAGCAGGGCGAACGCACTGAAGCCGGCAGGCGAAAAATGGCTCCGGAGCCATAAGCTGGCTGTGGCTGGTGATGGACCTCTTCCTCCAGGCTGCGGCCGGGTTTCTCCTCGGAAGCAACGAAGTCTCTGACCCTCCTGCAGCCAGACTGATGTCCATCGTTGCTGGAGCAAGGCTTGCCAAGGCCCCGCCAAAGTGATGCCAAGGACTCAAGGGCATCAGCCAGGGCCCAACACGAAGCCTCAGACTTAGAGGCCTCCAAAAGGGGTCTCCCTGAGATTTATAGCATTCCCCGACGCCGAACCTATACCCTAAACCCTTCCCCCTCCGCGAACAGGGCCTGCTGAGCATGAAATAGAGCACGATGCCGGCACCAAAGGCGTCTCCCTCGTAGCCGGCGGCCGTGCCTGGCAGGTGCTAGGGTTTGCGGTTTGGGGTTGAGGCCTTAGGGCTTGGGAATACTTCTTCTAGGGGCCCTGCACCCTATAACTGACATGCTCTAGCCCCTGAATTTCATCCGACTCTCACTGGCCCAGCTGGCACACTAAACCCATCCACACCCCGCCAGATTATCACTCCGTCGGGCTACATGATGGTCACATCGGTACTGCAGTAGGAGACCCGAAAGGGACCCCAAAACCCTAAACCCCAATCGGAACTACGACTTGGGGAACCCACCCGGTACCACGGCGCCTGAAAGCATCTCGGGGGATGCGTAGCCGATCGTACCGATGGATTTTTTCATCTCCTCCTGAGGGGCCGCGCCCGGAAACAAACCCCCCCCCCCCCCCCCCCCCCCAAGCATTCAAAGACAGCCCTAAAACCTTGAAAACCCTAAGCCAATCCTAAACTCCAAAGCCCTAAACCCTGAAACCCACGTAGGGCTGAGGGATTGAACCTCGTGGGGTTTAGCGTTGAGGCAGTTGAAGGCGTTATGGTTTAGGCAGAGGGTGGTAGTTTTAGGGCTTAGGGTATAAGGTTTTAGGGTTTAGGGTTTCCCTAGCCCTAAACCCTGAACCCCGAGCCCTAAGCTCTAAGCCCTAAGCCCTAAACCCTCGCTTGGGCTTCAGAAGTTGCACATCCGAGGCAGAGACCTTGTTGCTGATCAACGTGGCGATGCCGAAGTCGGTAAGAACCACTTTGTTGGAGCTGTTGACCTAAGTAGACCCAAAACCCTAGCAGCATTAAATCCTAAACCCTACACCCTAAATCCTAAACCCTAAACCCTAAACCCCAACACCACAATACCTGGTCTCCTGGACTCCCAGCTCTACACCCTAAAACCCTAAACCCTAAACCCTAAACCCTAAACCCTAAACCCTAAACCCTAAACCCTAGACTGTCTCCAGGGATTCCGCGAAGCCCCCTCGCCCTGGAGCCCGGAAGCCCCTAAGCCCTAAGCCCCTAGCGCAGGAGCCCGCTTAACTAGGATTCAGGTTCAGGGTTTAAGGTGTAGGGTTTAGGCCTTAGGAATTGAGGCTTTTGCTTAGGACTGCGTTCTGCTTTTGGGGCTCTCCAGGATAAACCGGAAAGTTTGCTGCACGCACCCTCTCCCCTTGAGAGAACTCCTGTCAAGGGCCTTGGTGCACTTAAGGTCGTGGGGTGAGAGTCTAGGGACGCACCCCTCATACAGAGACAGGGTTTAAGGGGTGAGGGTTTGAGGCTGTAGGGTTCTAGGGGTTTAGGTGTTCAGGGGCTTCGGAGTTTAGGAGTTTGGGGCTTCGGAGTTTCGGGTTCGGGCTAAGGGCCTTTGTAACTCTCTCGCATCACACTTTGCCTTGCATGCGCAGCCCCTTGTCTGCGGCGAATTCACATGGAGCCACTCTTGGGCTTCCGCGTGGGAGGCGCGGGAGAGACCCAAACATGCCAGAAGCAAAAGTATGTGTGTGTGTGTCTATATATATATATATATATATATATATATACAATTATCTATATATATATATATATATATTTATTTATTTATTTATTTATTTTTATATTTATTTAGTTATTTATGTTTATTTATATATACATATGTGCATGTAACCACTTTACAGGGATGCTACACCTTAAAGAAACTGAAAGCCTTTACCCTAAGCCTGTTGCTTACGTCTCTTCCATCGCAAGGCTCTTGGGCCCCTCCCTGAGCACTCTCCTTAAATCTCGAGAGTTTGGTGATCCACATGATGGGCCCGTGTGAATTCTCTGTCATCACCAGAGTGCTGATGAGAGAACAGCTTAGTAGGGTGCCTAAACCCTAAACCTTGAATCCTAAACCCCAAACCCAAACCCCAAACCCCAAACCCTAAACCTCTAACCCTAAACCCTAAAGCCTAAACCCTAAACCCTAAACCACGCTAACCCTCAACCCCAGACCGTCTGGACCAGACCAAACGGCGGGCCCACAGGTCAGATCAACCCCCAGCTGCCTCTTAACGGTGGGAGGAGCGGCGGAACCAGGCCGAAGAGGTGTCGTCTTTACAGGGGCCTCCTTCTTCCTCAGGCACCTGCGGGAGCCCCGGGTTCAGGGTTTAGGATTTAGGGTTTAGGGTTTAGGGTTCAGGGTTTAGGATTTCGGGTTTAGGGTTGAGGAGTTTAGGGTTTAGGGTTTAGGGTCTCGGAGTCTGGGGTGAGTTCAGCTGGGCGGCGCAGGGCGGAGGAAACCCCACGACTTCGGCTTGATCCTTCAGCCGGAGATGTTTGCCTCCCACGGCTCTACTTGGGGTAGACGGTGGCGCTCTTCAGCACACTCCCGTCGTAGTTGATCGACTCGATGAAGATCTTGGACTTGGAGATCGTCAAGTCGTAGAAGCCATACCTGGGGAGGGAGGTCAGAAGACAAAGCCCCCTGAGCCAAGAAGAGCCCAACACCTCCAAAGCATCAAGCCTGAACCCCAAGCCCCCAAACTGTCCCTAAATCAAACAAGTGCTGGGCTTGGGTTTAGGGTTTAGGGTATGTGCATTCGGGCTTGCGGACTGTCTCGAAGAAGCTTCTTGGTTTAGGGTTTAGGGTTTAGGGTTGAGGGCCTAGGGTTTCGTTTATGGTTTAGGTTGTTCTCCCTAAATTCTGGACCCTGAACCCTGAAAGCCCTTCAACCCCAAACAAACCGAAGCCCCCCAAAACCCCCTAAAAAAGACATAAAGACCTGAGCCCCAAACAAGCCCTGAGCTCCAAAACCTTTGAGGGTTCAGGATTTGTAAGGGTTAAGGGTTAGGGTTTGGGCTCACTAAACCCCAACAAGTTGCTGGCCCTCGCCATACCAGTGCGACTTATCCCAGGGCGAGGCTTCCGAAGTGATTCCGCCCCCGCCGCCGGTGACGATGCCTGCTGGCTGGTTCTTAGCAGGGAATGAGGGCATGAGTACCTTATACAATCCCTTAAAGGGTATATATAGGGCTACCCTATATAATCCTTTAAAGGGTATACATCAGGCTACCCTATATAATCCCTTAAAGGACACCCCTCATTTCCTACTCAGAACCAGGGGCCCTGCGGATCGACGGTTTCGGGCCCCCTACCGGGGTTCCTCGAAGAGGTTGTTAGGGTTTAGGGTTTAGGGTTTTAGGGTTTAGGGTTTAGGGTTTAGGGTTTAGGGTTTGGGGTTTAGGGTTTAGGGTTTAGGGTTTAGGGTTTAGGGTTTAGGGTTTAGGGTTTAGGGTTTAGGGTTTAGGGGTTTTGGGTATGCCTCATTCCGAAGTCGGGTTTAAGGCTTAGGGTTTGGGAGTTTGGTGTTTTGTGTTTGGGGGCCGGGGGGGGGGGGGGGTATTTGGGACCCATCGTTGTGGGGGCTAGGCTTTGGTGTTGACTGGTTAGGGCTTGGGGCTTGGCGTTTCGAGCTTGGGGTGAGGCTCTTCGTCTCAGCAGTTGCCCCAATATCACATCCACCTGCCTTTCAGGTGGGGTTCTAGGGGTTTGGGAGTTGTAGCTCGGGGTTTGGAGTGGGCTTGGCAGTGAATGTCTAGACTTGCCGTACTCCTCTAAGAAAGGTGCCAGGAAATTACTAATGGTATCCCACTATGGTCCCTTTATAAATACTATAGTTAGCCTCAGAACCCTGTTCTAATTATTACGGCCTCTAAACTCACAACATACTTCGCTGAACCCCCCACCCCTCCCCAGTGGACCCTGAGCCCTAGAACCCGAATCACTGCAGCCTAAGGTGCACATCATGCCCCCAAGTGCTCCCCAGTTCGATCCCAGCTCCTTTGCATCTTCACCGGTGGGGTTCAGGGGCTCTGGGGGGGTTCAGGGGCTCTCTGGGGGTTCAGGGCTCTATGGGGGTTCAGGGGCTCTATGGGGGGGTGCAGGACTTCGGGCTTTGGGATCAAAAGGCCCTGAAAGGGTTGATGTGTTGGCATCCGGTGTTCGGGGTTCTGGATGTCGCGGCTTTAGGGCTTTAGGGGCTTAGGGGCTTAGGGGGCTTAGGGGCTTAGGGGTAGGGGCTTAGGGGCTTAGGGGCTTAGGGGCTTAGGGGCTTAGGGGCTTAGGGCTTAGGATCTTGGCGTTCCGAGCTGGTTTGGTCTCAGGGCCCCGAGGTCTGATCTCCGAGTATCCTGGTCGTGGCGGTGTCCTGTCACAAGCAGGTCCAAGCCATGCGCGGTGTGAAGCGAGCGATACCACCTCGGCAGCTCTCCAGGTCTTCGGGGTTTTCGGTATTTAGAGGAGGGTTAGGGATAAAGGGAACTTAAGGTTTGGGAGCCCTTTCTTGGGGTTTTAGGGTGTTAGAGGAAGTCTTGAAGGCTTAGGGCGCCTCTGAGCCCGCAAGCTTGGAACTCCCAACACCCTAGAAGCCCTTATCGGGCTTTTCGGGTTCAGAGTTTTTGAGCTTAAGGGCTTAGAGCTTCGGGTTTAAGAGTTTTGGGCTTGGGCCCACAGGGAGGTCAAAGTCTTCAAAAGCTCGGGGATTGGGGAGGCCCGAAGCCCTAAAACGCTTCGATGATGCAGCGAAGATCACCTTCTATGGCTCCCTTTGGGGAGCTTAGGCCCACGGGCTTCGGGGTTAAGGGTTGAGGGCTCATGTCACTTTGCAGCCCTGGATATCGAAACGAGACAACCGCCCGGGAGAGCACTGAGTTGAGCCATCTTGGCTGCTCCAAAAGTTTGCCTGAGAAACGGGGTTCCCCAGTAGCCTCAATGCGATCGCGGTGCCCAGAGTCGTGGCCGCAAGGGAAATGTGTGACCTGTCTCAAGGACTCAGGGCCTGGGGCTTATAGGGCGAGGAACCCTAAAGCACATTTCGTCTGAACAGACAAGGCGATACGTCGGCGCCCCAAATCCCAAACCCCTCCAAATTAAACTGTTCAAGAGTTTGAGGCTCTTGCCTTGGAATCAGACCCCCGAAAGCGACCTCTGGAACAATGTGGGATTTAGGGTTTGGGATTTGGGGGAAGACTTTTCAGGCATTGTTAGAAATTCTTGGCCCGAAAAGGAGTATAAGGGGGAACATCCCAACCTACACCCCACGTAAAATACTTTGGGTGGCCGGGGTGGGTTTCCAAGCATGACACGCCCTCGACACGACTCCCTAAACCCTGAACAAACCCCAAACTCTCCCAACCCCATTTTGCGGCAGAGGGGAGAAAGTCATCAGAAAGAAGCCATGGGCTCCCCTAAATGTCTCTGAACGGGCTGAGAGCTTCGGGTGAGCGTGTTTAGGGTCTGGATACTAGAAGGGGCCTTCCAGTGACCTCCCACGGTCCCTGGTAACGGTCCCTCCCTTCCCCCCAAAGGACCGAGGCCCCTGAGCCCGCAAAATCCAAAAGCCTGGCGGGGTGATCCCATGATCGGACGACACCCCAAATCCTGAAACCCACATCCCAAATCCAGCCCAAACAATCCTCACCCGGAAGCCTGTACAAGATACCGAAGTTGGATCCTTACCCTCACCAAACCTCTAATCTCCTGCAACCCTAGACCCTAAACTCCTGAACTCCTACATTCCTAAACCCTCCAAACCCTAAACCCTCCAGACATTACCCCTTAACAATGAACGTTGATCCCTTGCGAGCCCAAGCAGTGCTGCCAGGGAGCCATGATCTGCCATGTGGCGCGGGAGCCCGACAGCTTCGATTCCTACAGTTTGGGTAGGACCTATAGGGTGTAGGAATTAGGGTTTAGGGTCCCAAAGGCACCAGAGGCTCTTGATTTCAAACCTTTAACCCTAAAGCCCTATAGAACCCTGAGCCCTAAGCCGCGAAGCCCAAACCCGGCAAACCTTCCTAAAGCCTGTGCCCAACGTCAACTGCAGCCCAACACGCCCCACCACCCTAAACCAAACCCTATGTAAACCCGAATTTTGAGGCCCTGTCCACCCAGGGCTTCTGCTCCGCGTAGAGGGCCCAGAACCAGTCCTGGTAAGGCGGCTTCGAATTCTTTGGCTCACGCTGGTCTCGGCAATTTCTGGGGCCTTCGGCCCTGGAATGGCCCGCACCATCCTAAATCCACCCTAAACCCTAAACCCTAAACCCTAAACCCTAAACCCTAAACCCTAAACCCTAAACACTAACTAAACCCAAAGCTCTAGGTGCCCCAGGGCCTTCGTTTTGCGGGTCTTTCGGGCGGAAGGCTTTGAAGCTCTTCGGCCGAACACAAAGGCCCTAAGTCCCTGTGATCGAAGAAGAGCTGGTTGCAGCTAGTTGACAAGTACGATGCACAGTAGAATACTCATATTAAATTGTGTGTGTGTGTGCATTTTGTCTTTGACTGTCACTCACTGTCAACGTCTGTCTGCCTGCCTGCCTGCCTGTCTGTCTGTCTGTACGGGTGTACGTGCATATGTACATATGTTACGTGCGCATGTATGCATGTGTTTCGGATTGTTTGTATCCGGTATTATGTGTGTGTGTCTTTCATCTTCACCGCAGATGCATGGACAGGTTACAACCTGCAGAACCCCTAAACCCTAAGCCCTAAACCCTAAACCCTAAACCCCCTGCGAGAAGGGCGCCTTGCAGGAATCGACCGAGGCAGGTCCGCCAGTTGAGGCGCAGCTGGCGTCCGGCCGGTTGTACTTGCGGCCTTGAGCAAATTTAGGGTTTAGGGTTTAGGGTTTAGGGTTTCAGGGTTGCTGGTGTTAGAGGCCATAGGCATTCCAGGACTTCAAGCCGTTAAATTCTGGGTTTTTCATTCTTTGCATGCTTAAGAATTTGCGTCAAGCGCTTAAGGCTTCAGAGGGTTGCAGGGTTTGGCACAGAAACCTAGGAACAAAACGGGAAGCCCTTTCAGAGGGGTTGATAGGGGAATAACCAGCGGTCACCGCGGGAAATCCGAGTTTGGGTTTGGGCGCTGGCTTGGGCTTTGGGGTCGGAGTCGGTAGGTTCCCAAAGTAACGCAGGAATAACAGGAGCATGCTTGTGCGTTTGATTGATAAGCTTACAGGAGACAACCAAAACAACAAAACGATTCGCACTCCGCTGGTGAACCTCCGAAACAAAAAGACCCAGTCTAGGCTGACCCCAGAACATTCATGAACCAGACCCTCTTAAACCCGACAAGGGAAAACATCCCCAGGCCCTGCCTAGTACAGGTTTGTCTCAAGGGCACATCCACAGAACCCCCAGTCTGCACTCCAAACCGTAGTGAGGATTCCTGCTTCATCATCGTTAATAATTGCCAAGGGGAATGTTACATTCATTCTGTTCAGTATTCCCCTTGGGCGTTTTGAACAATGATGAAGCAGGAGTTAAGAGTCCTTTGCAGTCTGAGGGCTTGGGGCTTCAGACTCTTACTTTCACATTTCATCGCCCCTCCAAGGCTCCCACTGCACATGTTGTGATCCGGATCTTCTCCTGGGTCCTGGCTCAAGTTTTCAGGGCGCCTTGGGCTTTAGAGGGGTTCCGGGGGTGGCTCAGGGCTGAAAGGGGTTCATGACTTGTCAGAGAGCCAGGATTCAAGCTCGTGGAAATTTCGGCATTGCAGAACCCACAAGCCCTTAGACGTTAGGGGATAGGATTAGGGGGACCCTTGGGGATATAGACCCTCTGAAGAAGGTCCCTGCTTAAGAGAGCCAGAAGAGGGTTCAGAAGGGTCCCCTTTTTAAGGGTCTCCCTTATCCTATTTAGGACCCCTAAACCCTAAACCCTAAACCCTAAACCCTAAACCCTAAACCCTAAACCCTAAACCCTAAACCCTAAACCCAGAACCAGGAGACGTCCTTTGCATCCATGGCGTTGCTGTCGTGCATGATGATGTCAACGTCGAAGCCCAGGTCTGGGTACTCGACGTGCTGGAACCAGTACCTGAAACCCAAGCGATTCTCACCCCTAAACCCTAAACCCTAAACCCTAAACCCTAACCCTAAACCCTAAACCCTAAACCCTAAACCCTAAACCCTAAACCCTAAACCCTAAACCAACTCTAAACTCTGTGGTGCTCTGAATTGTGGGCTCCTGGAAAAGGTGGGAAGCACATACCGTCACACAGTGTTACAGAGACCCAGTATCGATTCGGGCCTGGGGTTCTGAGATTGAAGCCTAGGTCCTGTAAAACCCGTATCCTGAAACCTTAAACCCTAAACCAGAACCTCAGAACGTTAAATCCTACGGCCGTGAAGCCCTCCTTATATTTAAGTCTCCCCAAAAGCCCTCCGAAACCCACACCACACCAGGGCTGTGGAGCTTGCCGATTTGAGGTTTGGGAATGTGAGGCCAAGGGTTTAGGGTTTAGGGTTTAGGGTTTAGGGTTTAGGGTTTAGGGTTTAGGGTTTAGAGTTTAGGGTTTAAGGTTTAGGGTTTAGGGTTTGTAGGGTTTAGGGTTAGGGGTTAGGGGTTAGGATTTAAGGGGCTTTGGCTTCAATATAGTTGTAAAGGAATAGTAGCCACTTTCCAAAAAACAACAAGTAGTAGACATCGCGATTGTAGTCAGAGAGCTTATGTCCTTAGGGTTGCTATTTAGGCTATTTTAACGTAAAAGACCCCATTTAGGGTTGTTTTTACGTTAACAAACCCAGTTTGAAGTCACAAACAACGACTTCGACGCCACAGGACGGGGCCGGCATGCGCCACCGTGGGCTGGCCCAGGTGTAGGCGATTTGCCTTTGTCTGTAGGGTGGGGGTTTTAGGATTTTAGGGTTTTAGGATTTTAGGATTTTAGGGTTTTAGGGTTTTAGGGTTTTAGGGCTTTAAGGTTTTAAGGTTTTAGGGTCTTTTAGGGTTTGGGGTCTTTTAGGGTCTTAGGGTCTTAGGGTTTTAGGGTTTTAGGGTTTTCGGGGTTTAGAGGGTTGGGGCTTAGGGGCTGCAAGGGAGTAAAGGTAGTGACGCCACCCTAAACCCCTTTTAAGGTCCACCCGCCCCGAGGAACGTGGCGAACCGGTTTCTGGAGGGGTTAGGTTTTAGGGTTCAGGGTTTAGGGTTTATAAACCCTATAAGGATGAAGGTTTAAGGTTTGGGGCTTAGGGTTTAGGACCCTAAAACAGAAAGTGTAACAGATAGTGTAGAGGGCTGAGACAGCTCTGACATCCGTTGCAGACCGCGGTGCTGGTCCCAGCCGTTGTAGAACTGCCTGCCTGGCTGTAGGGTTCAGGGCTTAGGGATACTTAGGGCAGAGGGAGGTTGAGGGTTTAGGGTTTGGGGTTTGGGGTTTGGGGAAGGGGTTGGAGAACGCCCTGAAGCGAAAACCTGATCCGAAAACGCAGGGGCCTGCTCGCAAAACGGCCTGGACCCTGATCTGAAAACACAGGGACCCTGTCGGAAGACAGGGGGCCCCAAACAATCCTAAAACTCTGAAAACAGGCAAAACCCCAAAACCCTGAACCCTAGAGACCCGCCACGGGACCGACCCAAACACTGCAAAACCCGAAGCCCTACAAAGCTTTTTTCGCCTCCATGTGTACTGCAAGTTAGGGGAGCAGTCGTTTACGAAACCCCCCCTAACGACACGGAGCCCGCGGGTTTTCTGGGGGGAGGGGGGGGGGGGATGCTTCTCAAGACTAAGGCCAGGTTTCGGGGGCTAAAAACCACCCACGCGAACCCGAAACCCTGATCTCTAAACCCTAAACCCTAAGCCGCAAACCCACTTCTCGTCCAATGTAGGCCTCCCCAGTCATGGTTCCCCAGGACACTGAGCCATGGCCTGCCCGCACCGTGTCCGAGTCACTTGCTTTTCGGGGGCTTTAGGGTTTCGGGTTTAGGGTTTAGGGTCGTTTACGGAATTTAGGGTATCTGTGAGGCAGCCTTTAAGCGCATCACGAAAGGTCGTATTTAGGGTATCTTGTGAAGGTCGTGTTCAGGGTACTAAAGGCAGCCATTAGGGGAATTTCACGTGGTATCTGGGCGGTTCAGAGCATTCTAGGTTCCCCGGAGACCTAAGAAAAATCGAGTGCCCTTTTTGGTCTTATTGGGCTTACAAGGCATCCGAACCCAAAAGGAGGGAATCCGGATACACGAGACATCCTGGTAGGGATTTGGGTAATTTGTGAGGAATCCTTCACAAACCCTAAACCCTAAACCCTAAACCAGGGCGGGGCAACCCCAGGAGGGCGGGGCAACACCCAAAACATCACCTAAGCCCCGAAGATCTTGGTTCTCCGAACACCTCAAAGCCTAAAACCCCACACCTTGGACCTGCACCTTAAACCCTGAGAGGGCGTAGTTTAGGGTTTAGGGTTTAGGGGTTCAGGGGTTCAGGGGTTCAGGGGTTAAGGGTTTAGGGGCTCAGGGTTTTCAGGGGGTTAGGGGTTCGAGGCTTCAGGGAGTTTAGGGTGTCAGACCGCAGCCAAATGCTGACGGGAGGCTTGTTGTCCAAGCCCGCTCCTTATTGCTTTTCTAGGAATCCCTTTCAGGTGTAGGGCTGTAGGGTTGAGGGTTTAGGGTTCAGAGAAAGGGTGCTCAGTGCCTCTAGGTGGTCAAAAAGAAACTTCTAACAACACGCCCAGGGGGCCGTTGTAGATGCCCTCGTAGATGTTGTCGAACTGGTGGCGGGCAGTGCCAGAAATGGATCCCATGGAGGTGCCTGTCTGTGGCAAAATGCGAGCCATAAATCTTTACGCCGGTTGTTTTTTATATCGCAGAGCCTACATCCTTCAAACCCCCTGAGCTTCAAAACCGTCCTAAACCCCAAAGCCCTTCAGCCCTTCAGCCCTTCAAACCACAAAAAGGCCGTGAGGGTTGAAATCTTCAGGGTTCCCTCCACCTCATGGCTTAAGCACTTGAGGTTGCGAGGGATGTTCAAGACGAGTCCCCATTGTGGCAGGCGTTTCAGGAGTGTCACCATAGAAAGTGCCCACAAGAAAAAAGCCCCTCATCCAGCCCCTGCAGTTGGCAGGTTCCCTAAGTCTTCATACACCACTTTTACATACATCTATATATATATGTATATAAATAGATGCTACCCCCCCCCCTGGGTTATCCACGCTTTTTTGTGTTTTTCCACGCTTTTTGTGGTTGCGAGCTAATTAGATCGTTCACGGGCCGCGGTGACCCCTGAACTCCCCCCCCCCCCCCCCCCCCCCGAACAACCCAATCCCCTACATAACGTAAATGTACGCAATCCTTGAGGTGTTGAGTCCTCGCCATCTGTCCAAACACTGGGCACAGCGACCTCCTCCCCTCCCCTCCCTTCCGCTCCGCTGTGCTCCCTGGTTTTTGTAAATGCTCTTTTTCAGGGCTTATCTCTAAAACCCTATCGGTTAAGGTTTAAGTCTTATAAAAGAGAGGCCCCGAAACCCTATTGGGTTTAAGGCTTAAAGCCGATAGGGTTTAGGGTTGAACCTTTAGATCCATAGGGTTTCAAGGTTACGCAATTACACCTACAGCCTGAACCTTAAAATCCTATAGGGTTAGTAGGTTTGAAGATTCAAGATGTAGGTTTTCCTACCTAAGCCCATAGAATTTTTCAACCTTAAGGGTTTACGGTTTAGGCATCGAAGCCTGAACCCTTTAAGGTCAGAACCCTGGAAGCCTACAGGGCTCTACAAGGCTGAAAAGTTTTAACCCCACAGGCGCTGAAGGTATGCATGCCCAGACCTTAGGTTTTTAAACCTTTAAACCTCATAAAGTCTAAATGTTTAGGGCTTTTCAAGGTTTATCTCTAAAGCCCTCAAGGGCCTAGAAGGTTGAACTGCCTAAATCTGAGGCTTAAATTCTAATACTTTACATGCACTTAGACCTAGGTCTGGACATTTATGCCTTCAGCACCTCTAGGGCTACAGCCTTCTAATCTTTAGAGCCCTCAAGGGTTTTAGGGTTCTGACCCTCAAGGGTTTAGGGTAATGCTTAAAGCTTAGACCCTATAGGGTTAAACCCTATAGAGCTAACCCCGTCAGGGTATTAGAGATAATCTCCGAAAAGCCCGAAGGCTTTTAACCCCTAAAGGGTTTAAAGGTTTAGATGCCTAAACTTGAGGTATAAATTCTGGTATTTTATGTGCATTTAAGATGCCCAAACCTTAGACCCTTGCGGCTTAAACTCTATGGCTTAGGTGTAAATGCCCAGTTCTGCAACCCTGACTCTTGAAACCTTAACCCTATAGGTTAAGGGTTTAGGTAAGGGTTTAGGGTTAAGGTTTGAATGCCCAAACCTTAAGCTCTTGCGGCTAGGGTTTACAGATTAAGGGTTGAGGTTTAATTGCTTTACCCTGAAACAATATAGGCTTGAAAGGTTGAGGGTGGAAAGTTTAACCCTAAACCCCTTAGGCTTTCAGGCTTAAGGATTAACACCTGAAACCCTATGGCGTTTCGTGGCTTCTCTTTACAAACCCTACACCCTTAACCGATGGAAATTTTAGAGATAAGCCCTGAAAAGCCCTTAAAGAAAACAGGAAGCAGGGGCGAAGCGGAGGGGAGCGAAGCGCAGCGGGGGAGGGGGATAGCAGAGGTCCTGGGGCTAAGTTGGAAGAAACCCCCCTCCCCCCCCCCAGAGGATTGAACTTCAAAACTCGGGACCCTGGATTCAAGATCCCGGCGAAACTTTTCCCTGGAACCTTGAATCAAGAATCTTGAATCTTGAATCCCGGAGTATTGAACTTCAATCCGGAGCATTGAACTTCAATACTCCGGGATTCAAGATTCAAGATTCAAGGTTCCAGGGAAAAGTTTCCCCGGGATCTTGAATCCAGGGTCCCGAGCATTGAAGTTCAATACCCCGGATTGAACTTCAATACTTCGGGACCCTGGATTCAAGATCCTGGGGAAACTTTTCCCGGGAACCTTGAATCTTGAATCTTGAATCCCAGAGTATTGAACTTCAATCCGGAGCATTGAACTTCAATACTCCTTGTCCCTCATCGTGCTTGACCATTGAGGACTACTGGTGCAATATAAACATATAGTCAATCAGCCAGATATAAAGAAAGAAAGAAATATGAATCAACACGCTGGGACAAAGAAGCCGAGTCATGAACGAAAAAAAGAAATACGCAGTGCCAGAACAAGAAAAAACACAATAGGTGTGGATAACTGGGGGGGGTTACCAAATAGATATATATATATATATATACACATCTAAATTGTACATATATATATATATATATATATTCTATTTGTATCTGTATAAAAGTTATAGCATTGTTTTTTCTGCTATCTGTGCTATTGATCTATTTTGCCTCATCTGGAAACCCGCAGAGCGTCCACTGTTCAGAGAACCAAGGCCGTTTGCCAAGTCGCTTCCGCAGTCCACCTCAATGCCACCCCAGTAGAAGTTGTCGCCGACGTTCCTCAGAGTTTAGGGTTTAAGGGCTCTAGGGTTGAGGGTTTAGGGTTGAGGGTTGAGGGTTTCGGAATTAGGGTTTAGGGGCTTTAGGGTTGAGGGTTGAGGGTTTAGGGGCTCTAGGGTTGAGGGTTTAGGGTTGAGGGTCTCGGGTTTAGGGGCTCTAGGGTTGAGGGTTTAGGGTTTAGGGTTTAGGGGCTCTAGGGTTGAGGGTTTAGGTTTAGGGTTGAGGGTTTAGGGTTTCGGGTTTAGGGTGGGGGAGCCAATGGCATGAACACTTTAGGCGATTGAGGGGTTTAGGGGTTGAGGCTTTTGGGCTCTACAGGGCTTTTGGGGTTTTGGGGCGTTAGGGCTTTCTTTCATGCTTTTGGGGCAAAATCTACGAGGCCAACGGACGTCAAGCACATGAAGAACGGCTCAGAGTAGAGGGTTCAGGGTTCAAGGTCTAGGATTTCAGCCCATATACCGACTACAAAGGCACACAATTATGACGATTGAGCAGTGTGAAGATGTTGGTGTTGTTGCGATGCTACGGGCCGCCCAGGTGCAGGATGTAGTCGGGATTCGCAGCCTGAGTCTGGCCATGTTGGGATTTGGATTGTTGGATCTGGGGTCCGAGGAGGGTCGGTAGCATTTCGGGTTTGGGCTGCTGGGTTAAGTTGATCTCATGGCTTGAGCGCTTGAGAGCTTCGGTGTTAGCGTAGGAACAGCCACTATCAGTAGCATACTTAGAGTCCCAAAACGCGTCCCCTTACATGCATCCCAAGAAGGAACCCAGGGTTTCGAGACCTGAGAAACCCTCAACCCTCAGCCCTACTCTGCTTAGGGATCCCTAGACCCTAAACCCTACACCCTACACCCTAAACCGTATGTACTAGATAGACCCTATGTAAACCCTAAACCCAAAACCCAAAACCCAAAACCCAAAACCCAAAACCCCAAACCCTAAACCCTAAACCCTAAACCCTACAGCCGGAACGGTGAAATCTCGCCCGCGCCGAATGCGAAGGTCCTGCCGGGCCCCCCGGCGGCCGCGCGCTGTTTGAACACATCGGCCACCAGGAACTGAGGTCGCATGTCCACCTCGAGACCGTTCGTTACTTTAGGGTTTAAGGTTTAGGGTTTAGGGTTTAGGGTTGAGGGTTGAGGGTTTAGGGTTTAGGGTTTAGGGTTTAGGCTTTAGGCTTTAGGCTTTAGGGTTTAGGGTTTAGGGTTTAAAATTTGGTTGTTTGGGCTGTTGCTGGTCGTGTCAGCTGTTTATAGGTTGTAGGGTTTAGGGTTTGGATGGTTTCGGGTTTAGGGTTGGGGGTTCAGGGCTTCGGGTGTGGGGTTTTGGGGTTTAGGGGGGTTTGGGGTTTTGGGGTTTAGGGTTTGGAGGGTTTGGAGGGTTTAGAGGGCTTGAAGTTCAGGGGTTTTGGCTTTGGGGTTTTGCGGATTCCTCGCCTCGGGTACGAAGCCGCATCCCGCCGGGCATTGGGAACCTCCACTCTGCGGCTTAGGGTTTGGGGTTTGGGGCCCGCAGCCCATCTTAAACCTAAACCCTACACCCCACACCCTACGCCGCCCCCTGAACCCTATACCCTAAACCCTGAACCCCAAAGACGTCATGAAGAGCTGGCCATGCAGGCTGCCCTACGAAGTAGCCGAAAGCTTCAGGAACAGTGTTGGGGTGCTGGGGGGGGGTCACCCTGGCCTCACAACATGGGTGTTTGCGGTTCAGGGATCAGGTCAGTTTCGGGATTCGGGGCTTCTAGGGTTAGGTCTCAGGATTCATGAGCATGCGCCGCCAAACTTTGTCCAAATAAAGCCTCACTGAGCTCAAAGAGCACAAGCAAGGGTCTTCGGCTTTGGGCTAGAGCGCCGAAACCCGACAAGTGAGGCTGCACGGAGTGCGTTGGACTTCCGGGCTTAAAGATTCCTAGCCATGGCTTAACCTGAAGCATGGTGGACAAACGGAAAGTCTGCACGTCTGCACTAACAAGCCCTTTTGGGGTTTGGGCGAGCAAGATACTGAGGCTTCCTTCTCGACCCGTTTCAACAAACAGGGGCTTAGTTTTTAGAGTGAACGTAGGGCGTTTAGGGTTCAGGGTTCTAAGACCAGCAATGCAGCAAAAAACGACTTTAAAGAGGAAGAAGCCCAAACAAATCTTACTTTAGAGGAGCGACCTGACTTACAAACGTTCCGAAAGAGCTTGTGGGACAAGCTAGCATATCAAGCAACAACAGTGGCAACTTGAATGAATTATTGTCACAGGTTTGCGGTTCGAGTGAAGACTGACCGACAGATGTCCTTTGCAAA